TTTTGATGCAGCAGTTGTGGTTAGAAGGTATCGATTGGGACGAACATATTAGTGCCGAATCGGAAGCGAAATGGAATAATTTGCTGTCAGATTTGCAAAATCTCGGTGTAGTTTCAATTCCACGATGGATTCAATATTTTCCTCAGGACAAAGTAGTTATTCATGGCTTTTCTGACGCTTCTCAATCTGCAATTTGTGATTGCGTTTACTTACGGTGTCAAACAGAAAAAGGAGTAGTATTTTGTAATATGATCGTAGCTAAAAGTAAAGTAGCCCCGTTACAGCAAGTTTGTTTACCGAGATTAGTGCTCAACGCTGCGGTTCTGCTCGCGAAATTAGTTAACTATGTGGTGTCTACGTTTGATTTCAAATTCGAATCCATAAATTTGTGGACAGAATCGAACTGCCCAAATACTAGAATTCGTTCCAACCGCCGAGTGGCGCCATGTTCCTACCCACGACAATCCTGCGGATATGGGTACTAGAGGTTGTAAGCCTCAAGATTTGTCTCCAAATTAATGGTGGTTTCAAGGTCCACATTGGCTTACGCAGCCTTCAACAGAATGGCCGAAAAAGAATTTTGTAACCTTGCATAAAGTAGGCAAACGAACGAACAGTGCATGGCTGCTGCAGAAAAGAAAATCGAAGTAGAGAACCAAGATTCAGAATTTTGAAGTCAATTTCTACGTACAAACGTGCGTTAAAAGTATTCGCTTATGTTGGTCGTTTTTACCAAAATTGCATAAGCAGACTGCGCAATTCCTCTAAAACATCTGAAGAAAAGTTAACACACTCAGAATACTCCTTCGGTAAATATGGACTCCTTATTTACTATAAAAAAATGTTTTATGGTGATGAATATAAATGTTATTGTAAAACAACATCGAAATTTCACCAAAAAGCTCTCTTAAGTCGCTCAATCCGTTTTTGGATCCAAAAGGAGTAATGCGAGTTAATGGTAGATTAGCTAATTCATCTTTGTCGTATAACGAGCGGTTTCCAATAATTGTTCCCAATAAATCGAGATACTGTCGCTTATATTTAAATCATTTACACATATGTCTCACGCTGATTGTAATTTAATGTGTAGAATGGTTCAAACTGAATTTTACATTTCTCGCCTCAAAACAAGGGTCAAAGGTACTATACACAAATGCAAGATCTGTCTCATTTTCAAACAAAAATCTTATTCACAAATTATGGCCCCTCTGCCACCTGAACAGTGTAGTTTGACTCCCCCATTTCACATCACAGGCATAGATTTCGCAGCACCATTTGAAATAAAAAGTTCAATTTTACGTTAAGCTGGAAATACATAAAGCGCTTATCTGGCTGGCTTAAGTCATCTGCTAAAGACGTTTCTGAAAAATATGCGGTTCATGGCTTCGAATGGAAGTTTATTCCACCTCACGCTCCTCATATGGGCGCGTTATGGGAATCGGCTATGAAAAGCTTCAAACATCATTTTAAGCGCATTCACCTTTGAACAATTAGTTACCGTACTAGCAAGAATAGAAGATGTTCTAAATTCGCGGCCTATATCTGCTGTCTCAGAGGATCCTTCCGATTTCACTGCGTTAACACCTGGACGTTTTCTCCGTGGATATTATGGCACTACCAGAACCTTTATCTCAAAACTTATCTATTATCAATAGGTGGTTGAAACTAAAAGCAATTCATCACCAATTTTCCCGCAGATGGAAAGAAGACTATCTGAAGGCATTACAAAAACGTTATAAATGGAGACGTACCTCCCCTAATCTTAAAGTGGGGGACTTAGTCGTCGTTATAGATGATTTGTTGCCCCCTAGGGAGTGGAGATTAGGTAGAATCACCAACACACACAGCGGATCAGATGATCAAGTCAGAGTCGTTGAAGTAAAGACTGCTTTTGGCATCATAAATCGCCCAATTGTCAAACTTTGTTACCTGCCATTGTTGGACGATGATGCATCCGACTAACCGGTCAATTTCAAAATATCACTTCGTTACAGCTCAAACTACATTCTAATCATTTGGTAACCATATTTCATCTCATTTTTATAACTCATCTCATTTACGTTATTTCCATACGTTGAAATGGGCCGTACTAATATCTGTCCCATTTCAGGTCATATAACAGCCGTGAGGTTTACGTGTGTGTCGTATGCAAGCAGCGCCATTCCCTACGATTCTGCCCGAAGTTCATCATGATGAGGGTACCTGCGAGGCGCAACATCATTCGAAAACACAAATACTGCTTGAACTGCTTAGCCAAGAGCCATACCGTGAAGGATTGTCATTCGAAAGATGTCTGCCGGAAGTGCGGTTATCAGCACCACACCATGCTCCACCCCGAATCGCAAGGGAATTCTCGCCCGAATGTGCACGGTCGCTTGGCACTACCCAGTTTGGACATCACATCCAGAGAGCTAACTCGTAACGTCCCTATGCTTCGACAACCAGCTTCTCAACACAGCAATCGGAACAGTCATCGAACATAATTTCAACGATCACGAGCATCACAACAAAAACCATCACATCAAAATAAACGTAAGCAACTGCCGAGGCGTTTCAATGCCCGCCACGATCACCACAGAACACAGCTCAGAACATGCAGCTACCCGCAACGTAATTTTGCCTGATCAAAGGGTGCTGTCGCAGGCCATTAAATCCTTGGCGTCAGTTTTATGCGTTTCCGCATCTGTTGCACAGGTGCAAGGCCGGGGCCATGGACAAATTCGTTGAATTTGCCAATTCATTAAAAAAATAAATATCCTTAATATGAATATGTATATTTGTTTGAATTAACATGAAATTTATTATTATAATTTTAACTATTATAAATCTATTGTGAATTAGTATTAGAATAAGTGTAAAATGAATTGTATAGACCTACTGAATACTCTCGTTAAGTAGCCATTGATTTATCTTAACGAAAGTAGAATATCAGTATCGTTGTTACTCAGTGCAGTCTTTTTTATGCCTAACTCACTTTTTTCCTGACTCGCATTGGTAAGCATATCTCCTCAATAAACCATTATTTGATACGTTTTGTAACGTTTAAGAAAATTTCTAATTGGTTTTATTTGTTCTCTTCTCCTTTCCTAAAATTATTCCTCATTGGCTATGAGGAATAATTTCATCAAGCTAAACCCTAAATACAGTCCACTCCACATTTTGGGTTTTCATTGACCCAGTTTACTGACCTCTCTCTTCTTACTTACCTTCAGCGGAATCCAAACCTACCAACAAAGAGCTATCGTTTTTTGCAATTACAAAGGTGCCTTTGAATTTTGGCATAAATTTTGTAGACGTCCCTATGGTAGCGTTAATATTTTTTATCACGACATAGTCACCCCGTCTGTGCATTATTGGTTGTTTTCAAATGCAGCACAATCCTGCTCATAGTTTGAATCGACAGCTGTAGTTTTGTTGCTTAGCTCCAAATTGTCTGTAAAATTTTTTTGTTCTAACCTGTTCATAATTTCTTTTGATTCTGTGGGTATTAATTTTTTTCCAACTCCAATTTGTCCGCAATTTGTTTTGATGTACTAACTATCAGTTTGTTATCTGGCTTTAATTTGTTTGAGTTATGTTGGTGGGGTTATCAATTTCAACACCGAACAACAGTAATTTGCTATTGGTCTGTTCCAAAAAATCAATTCCTAACAATACTGCGTACTTCATAAGGTGTTTATCTACACACAATCATTTAAGTTGGAAACATGTATCTACACAATCATTTTAAGTTGGAAACATGTATTTGATAATTTCAAAAACACGAAAGCAATATCCCTTTGTTTTTAATAAAGCAAAGTTTAAACCATAAACAATTGTATTTTGAACGGGGAAAATTTGTGTTCTAATTAAACTTATTGAGCTAACTAGTCTATTAGGCTTTCTATACAAAGATTAAAATTATTTCTGAAATTAAATGGATAGGTACATATTACATATGGATTCTGTAATTTTGTCGTCACTTTTTTCTTATTTTGTTCGCAGCCAGACACTGTGTGGTCGTTGCCACTACAAGCATAACATGTTCCAGGCTGTTGTCTTGGTTTACCGCAGTCAGCTGCATAATGGCCAAGACTGTTACAATTGTAACAGCGGACATCTAACTTGGTGGTTGAAGTGGCGCGGCCACCGTCACTCGACTTAGGGAACGGAATTGCTGCCAATGCTTTGCACATCTCCGTCACACTTTTGTATCGCTGCAGCATTGTTTGTCGTCGAAGCTGAACGTTTGATATGCCCTCGATGACATATTCTAACAATTCGTCTTCTTCTAATTTTAGTTTGCTCGCCAAACGGACTTTATCATTGCAGTAGTCATTGAATTTGTAGTAAAATATACAATAATTTGAAATTATTTCAAATTTGGTTGCAATATAAATGCAAATTTTCGACGTAAATGGGTAATAAGCTGTACATATTTGTGGTAGAACTGTCCTACTATTTTAGAATCAATCTTGTGGAATTACCCCCAAATTCCATTTTTGTTTGACAGGTTTTCAACAATATAAAATTGTTAAAGAAATGGAAAATAAACAAAACCAACTGTTGCGTATTTAAAAGTGTATTTGACACTATAAGACTCCAGCACAAAGTTGAATTTTTCTTGTTTCTTTGAAGTTGAGCAACATTTGTTATTGAGCCATGATTCCATTCATTTGTTATCAAACAACTAAATTAAAATTTGATTGTTTGCCTTAAAACCATGCCGTCGGCCCTATAGTGCATGGTGGGAAAGTTGAGTATTTGTTTACGCTACGTCGAATTTTAGGTAGCGCAGTTAATAGATAGTTTCATGAGAACACTTGAATGCGTACATTCAATTAAATTCCATTTTTGTTTACAAATTGTACGATATGTCGAAGGTTCAAATTGTTTCCTTATAAAATTAGATGTTGGTTGGGTCACCCATTGCTATTACCATACCCAGTCGTTGGCAAAACAAGTACTCTGCTATTGTTTTGTTTCAGTTTTCATACACATTAATTAGGGTACAAAATAATATTTTTAAGTTTTATAGCGAATTCTATAGAATCTCTCGAAGATTTGATAACGACTGGTGCATACAGGCGTATAATGTTTAGACACAGTAATCTATACGTATGACACTACCACATTACCATTGATAATAACACTATTTACTGGTAAGTGGTACATCTTTGAAATTGAAACATTATAACATTATTATCGTTTTACAATAGAGTTCTTTGGTGCCTCCAAATATCAAATATAACCTAGGACAAAAATCTTTTTCATATACCTATACACCCTCTAAGTCTGTCTTCCGTCTGCCATGGATAATAAGAAACAACGACTGTCAGAATTAGAAATTTGAAGGGAAAATATTGTCAGTTTTGGCTTATATTTCCTTTAGCGTCAACCAGCGGATGGTGCCGATTTTTTCCTTGAGTAACCCTTATTATCCTGGGCTTAACTCTAGTTTAGTAAAAACTCTTCAATTTTTTCGAAAATTTTTTCAGTGGTAGGTATTTTAACCATGATCCCGGGAAACTATTTTTTTCTTGGGGGACGGACCTGGGACCCCAGATTTTTGACCCGAAAGTCCGGGTTCGAGACCCCGACTAGACCCGGATCCCCCAAAAAGTCAAAAAAGGGTCCATTATGGGGGACAACAAAATTGATGCCAAATTATAGCTGACACTTCTACCTTTCCAAAAAGGTTCAATTTGTGCTAATACCTTTACTGAGTCCAGAGATATGGGTCTTTCCATCCGCATAACCCGATTCTAACCAGTTCATTAAAACTATGTTTTCAATAAAAAAAAAGGTATATTTTGCGTAAGAATGAAATTCAGAAATCTTTGGTTCGCGTTAGCCGGTGTAGGACATAGCCAGAGGAGAAAATCTCAAGCCCCGGCCGAAGGCCGGCTACTTACAAAAGTATCCAATTTAGAAAACTTTGATTCGTGTTAGCCGGTGTGGGACATACCCAGAGGAGAAAATCTCAAGCCCCGGCCGAAGGCCGGCTATTTACAAAAAGTGTCAAATTTAGAAAACTTTGGTTCGCGTTAGCCGGTGTGGGACATACCCAGAGGAGAAAATCTCAAGCTCCGGCGGAAGGCCGGCTATATATACAAAAAGTGTCAAATTTAGAAAACTTTGGTTCGCGTTAGCCGGTTTAGGACATACCCAGAGGAGAAAATCTCAAGCCCCGGCCGAAGGCCGGCTACTTACAAAAGGTATCCAATTTAGAAAACTTTGGTTCGCGTTAGCCGGTGTAGGACATACCCAGAGGAGAAAATCTCAAGCCCCGGCCGAAGGCCGGCTATTTACAAAAAGTGCCGAAATTATGAACCTTTTGTTCGCGTTAGCCGGGGTCGGACATACCCATAGGTGAAAATCTCAAGCCCCGGCCGAAGGCCGGCCATTTACAAAAAGTGCCAAATTTAGAAAACTTTTGTTATTCCGACGACTGCTACGCGAAATAAACACTTTTTTTATTAAAAACATAATTTTAATGAACTGGTTAGAATCGGGTTATGCGGATGGAAAGACCAATATCTCTGGAACCGAAAAAGGTATTAGCACAAATTGTAGCATTTTGGAAAGGTAAGAGTGTCAGCTATAATTTGGAAACAATTTTGTTGCCCCCATAATGGGCCCTTTTTGACTTTTTGGGGGTTTCATAAAAAATCCGGGTCCAAAAAATCGATAATTTGACTATAACTTCCGTACCATGGCAACTTCATGTGACCACTTGTTGGATAGGTATTTCCATAAGCTTTCCATCGATACCCATATTGTCTATATCGGGTAAGTGGATCCGGGTCCAGGCGGGATCTTGATCCCGGATTTTTGGGTCAAAAATCTGGGGTCCCGGGTCCGTCCCCCAAGAAAAAAATAGTTTCCCGGGATCAGGGTAAAAATACCTACCTCTGGAAAAAATTTCGAAAAAATCTAAGAGTTTTTACTAAACTAGAGTTGTTCCTTATCCTGATTACATTTGTGTTTCGGGAATGATTAATTTTCAAGATGTTGACCTTTAATGTTCGTTTATTGAAATTGAGGGCTTAATTTTGAGCACAGGACCATGCCGGAACGTCCTGAAATTTTTAGCACAGTTACTTAGTATTATATGCACTACGGGAAACACACAAAATCTTAGGGAAAGGACATGTTTACTTGACCCGAAGGTTTGAATACAATATGAGTATAATTTGAAAGCGTGGTCTAATGCCAGTTTTACCAGTTAGGGAGTATTATACGAAAATTAGTATTAACAAACCTGAATTTTAACTTGCTTCCCGAGTTATTCATGTTTTATAGTTGTGATCCAGTTATGATACAGTAGTGGGTTTGAATCAATGTTTTCGCTATTTTTTAAGCCGAAGGGAAGATTACCTATTATGGGGTATCCATCTTAGTTCCACCTTAATTCACGATGCAGGTTTCGGATTTATCCTAGATGAGGAGGTCTTCAAATTTAATACATATCAACATTATATTCTAGTGCACTTGTCCAATTTCCTAGTTTTTGTTACACCACCTGCAAATCATTTTTTACGGTCGGGGTTTTTCACCACTCAAGTAAACACGTGTATTTATATCATTGTTACCCAAATACGTCGATCGTACGAAATTTCAAAGTTGAACAATTTCAAAAGTGACAGTTGAGCAATTTCTTCCTCTGTGCTTTAATACAATACAAATAAATACAATAATACAAAAAATATGAATATTTTTAACTGTGTAATAAAATAAAACAATTGGGCGAATTTCAAAATATAAATTACATTGAAATAAGTTTGATCTGATTCATCCTAATGTGGCTCTGTTTCTTAGTCCAGCCTCAAGAAAGACGCAAACTGTATAGTTTGGGTCCACAGCGACAATGAAGTTTTACGAACGCACCCAAAGTTACTCATTTCCCGCCCCTGCCGACCGGAGGGGCGACCATCCTCATACGGGTTATCAGTAAGCGTTAGTAATTCCAGCTACAAAAAAACAAATTCATCAGCTGGTAAAAAATACAATTATCTACACACAATCTATTGATCATTTAAACACAAAATTATATTAGACTTTATTGTATCCAAAATCTACATAAGAATATAAATAATTGAAATCAACACTCATTTTACTGTCAGGGTCACCCATCGCATAGTTTGAGCGATGTAATTCAGTATATAAAAATTGATAATATCTACTAGTTCTAAAAGTAACATTTATTCTATTTCAGATGGTACAGTACCGTTTAAAATTTTTAACATCATTATACAATGAAACATAATTCGTCTATTTTAATGAAGGTAATCGAATTAATTTTAACCTGCTGGTATAAGAGGGTAAAACAAAGCTATTGTTCCAATTTAAACCCCTTAAAGTAAAAAGCAGGAATTGCTTCTGTACGGACTCGATTTTATCGGAATAAAAAGTATATTGAGACAGAGGAACCATATTCTAATATTGGTCTAACAAGAGACGAATATTGTTGTTTAGTCACATATGTATCAGAAAATTCTTTGGCACAACGTTTAATAAAAGTAGTAATATGGTTATTAAAATTTTATTTGGGGTCCATCAAAAGCCCCAGATTAGTGAAGGAATCTGCAGTCCATTTATACTATAATGATTTGATATAGGTTTAGATTAAAAAAAAACACATTCTTACATTTTTTTTAAATTCAACTCCATGCCATTGAGATGACACCAATAAAAAGGCTATTTAAACCTCTTTTTATAAGTCAACATTTATTTGAGATTTATGAGTCATGAATAATTTGACATCATTGGCGTACATTAATAATTTAGAATATTCAATTGAATTTGGTAGATCATTAACAAACAACAAAAATAGAACTGGTCCAAGAAGACTTCCTCGTGGAACTTCAGATGGAACATCAATAGATTTAGAATGAAAACCTTCAAACAAAACTATCTCTGACCTATCTATATAAATTACCAGAAATGTGAGATAATTTAGATTTTATCCCCCTTACATTCTGATAGCAAATTGATAAATAATTTTTTAGTTTTTTGAAGCAGGAACTGGTAAGTGAGGTATATGAGCTGAATTTTCTGATTTTTCCACAAATTCTTTTACAAATGCCCTAGCAGGTCTTTCGTATTAACCGTACCTATTCCAGTACCTCCACAACCTATTACAGTACCTCTTGCCGAATTAAAGATTCGTATCCTTATAAGTTATCACAGGCTGATCAAATTTGTATGCCTTTTCTACAACGTCAGGATGTGTCCAATAGTCTGCGTAGTTTAAATTTATACAATTTACGTCAACAGTAATAAAAGGATTTGTCCAGCGTAAACAAACTGATACAATTTATACTGATTTTAGTAAAACTTTTGATAGGGTTAACCATAAACTTCTAATATATAAATTAAATTATATGGGTTTCAACACAAACTTAGTCAAATGGATATCATCTTACTTACAAGATAGATCACAACTAGTTTTGTTTGAAGGATATCTATCCAAAACGATTAATGTTCCATCGGGTGTTCCGCAAGGAAGTCACCTTGGACCGGTCCTCTTTCTTTTATTTATCAACAATTTACCTAATTCAATAAATTACTCGAAATTGTTAATGTACGCAGATGATGTTAAATTATTCATTTCCCATAATTGTGATAAACGAGCTAGTTTATTTCAAAAATTGTATGGATTAAAATATAGGCAAGCTAGCTGGCCCGGTCCGCGTTGCCGGCCAGTAGTTTCAATCTTTAAAGCATAATAAATCACAGATCTGACTTATGTAGGCGGCACAATTTTGATTATAAGTAATGGCGCCATTATAATTACTCCAATTTTGATTATAAGTAATGACTTGATTATGAGTAATGACTCCATGACTAAATATAAATTAATATTCATGGCAAAAATTATAATTTCCGTCGGTTTTAGATATTTTGAATAGCCTGATCTTATTATTCAGCTATAGGCTTTAATTTGAGTGTTAAATACCTATATGATAAAGAACATCTATAATAGCCCCATGTGAAAATTCAGCTCAATTTTTGATGTTGTAAAAAACATTCAAATGAGCTATAATTTGAAATTTGTATTTCCAACGTTTAAAATCCCGTACTGCGTGGTATTCAGTTTTGTCCACCTCATACTTGTCAGAATAGCCAAAGAAATTACTCTTTTGCATTAATTGTTTGT